TGAATAATACTACCATATGAAATTGTTTTGTTTCTGATTTACTCAACTTTGAAAAATAAGACTGAATGAGACCTTATTTAAACACAATCTTTCACACATTGTACTACAGGAATAGGCCATAAAATAGGCTACCTAAATATCTAAGTTTATTGAAAATCCAAATCTAAAAGAATTAGGGTGGTAGTAAAGTAAAGGTAAAGGTGCACTCTATCTGTGCATCCTCTGCATTTGACCCATCCTGATGCCACTAGGGCTTCCGTCAAGAGCAGTGGTCACCTTGGCACAGCGCCCGGGGACCCATCTCCAAATGTTGGTGCTCAGCTTGATCAGGACTACCGGGGCTGGAGGATTTTACCTATCGTACGCGTTTTTAGTGGTAGGGGAATCCGGAGGACCCAGAGGAAACATTCGCAGACACAGGGAGCACATGCAAACTCCACTCAGAAAGGCCCCTTTCTGACCGGGATTCGAACCCAGGACTTTCTTGCCTCGAGTCAATTGAGTTGACTCATGTCAGCCATTTTTGCTCTGACAAAACAATTACACCAAATAATTAGTCGACTATTACAAAATGTGGTCAGCTTAAAAAAAACAACATGACTAAATATGGACAGCCCTCCTAAAAACAGATGTATATTTCACATTTCTCATAGGAAAACCCATGCACCTGCCTGGCCAGACTGCAATAATGGTGAAGCATGGTTGCCATATGCTTAGAGACCAGCAACGGCCCATTTAACCTTTCACCGGCAGGCCACACACACACACACTCACACACACAAACGCTCACACACACGCACGCACATACACACACACGCACGCAAGTCTATCATAGCCAACTGCCTCATGTTCAGGGACACGACAGAAGCTGGCCACAAATTAAGGGCCTCTTACGTGCACATAAAGCATTCAGAAAATATATTTTCAGTAAGTCAGTAAGGAGCCCTAATTTCTCAAAATAACTTGGCAACGGGAGGAAACGCAGTGATTTCCAGTTTGTTTTTATAGTAACGCTATAAATTCATTTGATTGAATTTCTGTGCGCAAGTAAAGATGGGAACACTTTAGAGAACCACTTGGATCGTAATGAGAGTATTTTTAAATATAGGAACATAGCAAACTACTGAGGAACTAGAATGTATACTTAGAAGACTGAACATATGCAAGGCAGATGAGACATATATTTCTTAAGAAAAAGCAATGCAGGTTTTTTGGTCAATAGCACACACACATACACAATGTGGAGGGTGAAGAACAAGTTGGTGCCAGTGCACATCCATAATAAATTCTTTTTAATCACAGATAGTAGTAACAGAAGGAAAGGACATTTTTGTGTGCCTTTTTCACGCACCACTTTGAAACAGAAAGGTTTCCTTGCAGCAGGTATTAAGCCTTGTGAACAATCCTGTAACAATCCTGGGCGGCACGGTGGCTGAGTGGATAGCACTCTCGCCTCTCAGCAAGAAGGTCCTTGGTTCGAATCCCGGCCGGACAAGGGCCTTTCTGAGTGGAGTTTGCATGTTCTCCCCGTGTCTGCGTAGGTTTCCTCCGGGTACTCCGGTTTCCCCTACCACTAAAAATATGTCCAATAGGTCTGGCATGCGCCTCCTGTTCGGCGACCCCGCTCCCATCTCTGTGTGGAGTGAGAGGACAAGTGCCCAAAAATAACAATTGTAAACCGCTTTGTGACTCTGGTCTGTGAAAGGCGGTATATAAATAAAGCTTACTTACTTACTTACTTACTTACCATTGTACAGTTGAAGAAAATGTATTTAAAAAAAAGTACTTGCAAATTATGGTAAATTATTGGTTGTTCAAAAGTAACTACAGCAAAGTGTAAGATTGCTATGTGCAAAGGAAAAAAAATATATATAAAAATAAAATAATAATAATGATAATAAACATATAAAGGCGTGCCATCCCATTTTTTATCCGTCAACTAAATACTGTATGTGTTAAGGGGCATGAAACATAAGACTTTGTCTTCCACATGCTCCTATTCAGCAACATGTAATGGAATTGAACTATTTGTGTTCTTATTATTTTCATTATGATTGTAATAATGTCATGGCTGAATAAATAAATAAATAAACAAAAAATACACGAACACACAACACACACATTATTTTTTACCTAAAGAGATTGTCAACTTCTCATATGATATCATTATATAGTGTAACAAATCAACAGCTCTTGTCAACCAAAGTAACATTTCCTTCAAAAGTCTCCATCAAAAGTGGTTAAAGATATAATAGATCCAGTTACCATTATTAATATTATTGAACATTATTGTTCATATTGTCCAATAACAAGGTTTGATGGGTAAGGCTGTTTCTCTCCTGAACCATAATAGATAGATATGTATAATTTATGTGTAGGGCCTGTTGAGTACGTAGATTGATTATTTCAGATATAAATACTGTATATACCGCTGTATATGAAATTCCTGAGTTATTCTTTGCCAATGCCAATGCCTCTCAAACCTTTCATACAAAGTACGTCTTCATACAATGCTGAACTAAAGTTGAAATGGTGTGAATTGCATGAAAGCTGAACACACACAAAGTATTACAGACTGCAACAATAGTACATGCTTTGAGAAAACCTGCATTATTCGTTCCTGCATACAAATCAAAAAGAACTCATTATTTATTTATATTCCTACATAATCTGATCTCTATTCAAATGTAACAGCTATTTTTTTCTCATTTCCCCTGAAGCAATGAAGAAGTGCCTTTCTACAAATACAACTGTTTCTTCAAACATGTGTGCGTCCAAGTGTGACTCAATCATTCTATATCAACACTCATATATCTTTTACATTGTGTTCTATTCCATATACTATAAAGCACTTATATATTGCATGCTTTCTTATTGACAAAAAAATACATACAGCAGGGCCTCCAGCTCTTGTATAAAATAACTGCATTTGGAAGATTTAACCTCTGGGCTGGCTGTGCAAATGCCTGTAACATAAAGGAATGAGGTGCATATTGAAGTGTGACAGTGTCAGCTTATTGGGATGGCTTCATCTGCTGTTTCATACAGTGGAACCTGCGGCTCAAACACATTACAGCGCTCCATCAGACGCGAGGGGAGTGTGTGAAGGTGACACCACATTAAATCTGCTGCCACCAGTTAACGCCTGCTGGATTGGAGATAGTTAGACTCACAAATTACCTGAGCATGCAGGCCCACTGTAAGCCCCTATATGCAAATGATGAGAGGGACATGCATTTTCAATGAAGCCGCTCCGGGATGGACTCGAATTATAAATAAATAAAGTGTACAATATGTTTGAATGGGATAAGAAGAAATTGTAAGTATATACCACATTTCATAAAAAGACTGCAACTCAATGCCCTTTACAAAGACAGTGAAATAAAACAGATCACACAAAAACATTGAAGATACAGCCGAACGAGAAGAAAATCTAACATACGAGTCTTTAGTTTACTCTAGAATGAGCTCAGTCGGTCGGCACGTGTTGAGATCATTAGGCAGGGTCTTCCATTTGCAACGAGCATGAAAAGAGAGACCAGAAACGTGAAACTATTGAGAATGTGACTTCACAATGCTTGAAGTTGTATTCATAATTTGGCGCCTTTATCTTAAACAATCAATCTTCAAATAATTTAAACTTCATTTTGCATGGTATTTCAGTACCTTTGGTGGATTTCCAGAATGTGAGCTTATGTCTTAGACTACTTTTTTATAAATAAGCTAGTACATCAAGCAGTACAAGTATTTCACATTGAACATGACTTTCTAATTGCAATCAAAAGATCGCAGAATTGCAAATTAATTGTCGAGATTGGTTGGAGTCTCGATCACTCCAGGAAGAGTAGGGTCAGACCCATCATTGACAGGTAGACATAAGGGAGCGGTTGCCTGTCCAATTATGGCTATAAAGAAGCAGGTTGCCATCTTTGAAGTTTGGCCTGTACTTCTGACTGAGAAAATGGAAATACACAGACTTTGCAGAATCAAACATTGCGTTCGAGCCTGGTTCCAAACGCACGGTTTGGCCGCCGTGGATTTTTAAAGTTTGTCAAAAATGCTGCCATTTTGTTCCGGCGCAGATTCGTCATGGTCACATGCGCTTCTAACTACAACCACGGCAGCCACACCGGAAACGGTAATCTACATCTCAGACATACAACTCCCCACAGACTGTATTACACTCTTGTCCAAAGGCCTAACTTTCGCACCAACATACAATACAAGCAATTTCCAGACTAAGGTGGATTTATTTCGCTTTTCCCGTAACTTACACCTCAAAGCATGGTACAGCACTCGTCCCACTCAAGTGGCCACCACACCTGCTAACCCCACACAGACTCAAGGCACGAGCTTTAAGCCGAAATCCACATTCTTTCCACTGAGCAATAATGTTTGTTTGAACGCATTTGTGGAAAAATTGAACCACGATGTTGAAAACAATATGAAAAATGACAAGGATGCGTTCAAATTTTTCCTTAGGTGAAAGAGGTGCAATCACATGGCTAAAGCCTGGTTCACATGAGACAATTTTAAAATTGTCAGCCGATTTTTTTTTTCTTTGTGTGAGACCCCACACACGGAGATAAAAAATCACGGGTCTAACCACTTTGGTCGTACAGTGTGTGGTGCGCAGCCACACTGCAAAATCACGCAAACCACACACATCACACACGAACCGATTTCACCCCCGAGCATTCACAGGTCACCGGAAATCTCACAACATCTCTCGAGATCAAGCGTGACTTCAGAGTAAACAGCCGAAATCCACATTCGGCTGTGTCATCCACATTCGCCACAGTGTCATGGCGTCTGCCGGTATCAGAGGTGCGCTCGTGGCCCTTCAGGTATACCTTATTCTGTGCTTTCTCGCCACACCAATGATGCCTGGCGAGCTACATCAGGAGAGATGTTATCTAAATTCTGATCTTTCACAATCTGATGCTAAGCACTTTGGGCATGGCGCACATACTCTTGCAGACTTTGTGAGACCAGGCCGCCTAAACAAACACCTCAGAGCTGTGCCTAAACTGCAACAGAGCGATGCACTTGTCGCGGTAATGTGTCTCCTCTGCTGGCCGGGGATATCCACCTGTGCCCTGGCCCGCTTGGACCTGTCTACAGTAGCTCCAATGACAACGCATCATTCCATCAGTCCACAATCTGGCACGAGACCCCGACAACGCGCGCTAATACCAACAAGCAAACCAACCAGCAGACTAACCTGGGGAGCTGCTCTTGGGTCCCCGATGGGCCCAAATCGGGTCCGATCCGGTGTGGAGGTGCCAGTGCAATCTGTGGACCAGTGCGCTCGGCTACCCTGGTACGGGAACCAGATCGGGCAGCGGACGGAGCGAAGCAAGGCAGTGTGGACAGCAGCGTGGGCATGACAGTGGGGAGCCCTCCCGGGGCAGTTGTTCCAATGACGGTAGGCTCCCTGGCTCCATCGGTGGCAGGTGGAAGTCGGTCCTCGACCGGTGAACGCGGGGGTTACGCGCATGGGACTATTGCGGAGAGCGACGTCAAGTTACCGGAAAATAACGTCAACAAAAGAAACCGGAAACGCCTCAATCCCGCAATAATAAAGCACCGGAAATGTAGGGTGTTTCAGACTGTTAATAATTCCAGGCTAATATGGGACCCAAAGTCAAAACCAAAAGGCATCCTATGTGGACATTTAAACATACGCAGCCTCAGGTCAAAAAGTGACCAAGTTCAGCACATTCTCAATGACTCTAATATTGACTTCCTTTGCCTTTCTGAAACATGGCTTCATGAATCATCTCCTTCAGCCATGTTATCTGTACCTGGGTATAACATTTTCAGGAGAGACAGAAGGGGTGCTAAAGGAGGTGGCGTTTTGATTTAAGTCACAAATGAAAATGAACTGGAATTTCTTAGTTTAAATGTAACCTTGTCACTGCAAATGTCTTTCACTTCAGTTGTTATCTATAGACCCCCTTCATCAAATGCAGACTATTACGACAAACTGGATTTGTTGCTAAAGCAATTAAAACACACATCTCACTTTTAAAACACATGTTGAAAAGATGTGTAAAACAATCAAATTTAATCTTTCAAATTTCAGATCAATAAGATATGACATGTCAACTGAGGCCGCAAAACTTTTTTTAGATTCAATGATTTTTAGTCATTTTAATTATTGTTTAACAAGCTGGAGTCAAGCTAATAAGACTACTTTAAGACCACTAGAAATCTTATATAAGCAAGCCATCAAAGTAATGGATAAAAAGCGAAAATGTTATCACTGTTTAATTTTGGAAAAGTATTCCTTTCTAAGTTGGCCAGATCTTCATAAATTCTCAAATCTATGCTTAATATATAAAGCAACTCATAATTTGGCTCCCACTCCACTTGCAGGTCTGATAAGTCAAAGGAACAGTAGTGAGCGGCTCACTAGAGGCTCCGTGAGAGGCGACCGTGTGATCCCTCTGCGTAAGAGCACCTTCAGTCAGTCTGCCTGGTCCGTTAGAGGCACCAGAGAGTGGAACTCACTACCACAGACTGTTAGACAGCAGAGCACATACAGGGCTTTTACACAGCACCTAAAGCAATGGATGGTAAACACATACACCTGCCCACATTAACTGATGTATGATATGCTTATGCAGTCTTGTAAATAGTATATTTTTGAATGTGTGAACACAATGTTAGTCTTGAATGATGTTATCTCTGTCTTGTAATTTTGTCATGTTAATGTATTTTAATAGCTTTTTAACATCACAGCCAGGGGACTACAGATGAAAAATAGCCTCCTTGGCTAATTCTGGCTTTTTTAACTCATGTTTTATCATGTGTTTTATTAAATTGCATTGTCCCCCTTTGAAATAAACTAAACTGAAACTGAAACTGAGTGTGCAGGCCTCTCCCTTTCACGCAGCCTATAGAGACTCACGTCTGACCACAGCAGCCACAGACACCATGAGGACAAACTATACATGTGGATTTTACTGCTCTACAGTTCTCTGGCCCGTACTGTCTGTGCTGTTCAACAATACAGTTTGTACAGACTACCTGTGAACGCATCACACACACTTCTAGACATGAAACTTTACATACGCGCAAACCAACAAGCACGGCTGCAGTAACGGCTGCATCAACACGTCTGTACTGTATTAGGACAGAGTGCAAAGTAAACGTACAAACACAACCCATCAGTCTGATCATTTAGTGTACTAATCCCGTCCGAATAGGGCTTATGCCAACACTACCTGTGCAGCAGCAATTTCTGCCCAATTCCTCTCCTTGTCATTTCGGTGATGATATTCTTTACACGACACGTCATACATACATACATTCACGGTGTTGCCAGAGGTCAACTAGTTGTTCCTCCATCTATGATGTCCACCAAACTTTCTGGTGCGCCATGCCACTGACTGTTTTGTTTTTTTTACGGTGTTTCCTCGCCGGCTCGTCTCGTCTTCTGATTGGCTACACGCCGCAGTCATGGCAACGCGCACGTCTGTCCCCGGGGGACACCATACACGAAGAGAAATCGGGCCAAAACAATCCAACATGTTGGCTATTAGGGGTGGAACCTAAGGGTACCTCACGATACGATACGATACACGATACAAAGCTCACGATAACGATAATATCACAATAACGATATTACGATAACGATTTTATCACGATACGACGAATATTGATATATTCGTCAGAAATATACAATAAATAAAAGAAAAAATACTCTTTATTTCATGATAAATAGAATGGAGATGCGTAATGTTGCCATATATTAAGTATTGATACCAATTCAAAAAAAAAAATTAACAAAATAAATAAATAAATTAAAATCGATATCGATACTTGGCAAATGCATATCGATAATCGAATCGCGGGAGAAAGTATCGCGTCACACCCCTATTGGATATCCCCGATATTGAGATTGGAGCAGTCCCGAAGTCCTTCCGGGCGACGAGCACAGTCTTAAGACACCACACACGGCAGGAAAATCCATCAGATTTTTTGTTACGATATTTGGAGCGTTCTTACGATTGTCGTAGGGGTACATCGGGTCCAAAATCGGCCTAATTATCCTGCCGGGTGAACCAGGCTTTAGGAGCATCATCCTACAGAGAGCGGACAAAGGAGGTGCTACAGTTATTTAGGGTAAGGCTGATTACGTGAAGGAAGCCCGCAGACAGCTTCATGACACACAATATTACCTTCCACTCAAGTCTAACCCCCCTGAAACTGCTAAAAGTGATCTTTTGGCTATCTTGAATAAAGCTCTTGACCAAAAATGGATTACAAAGCAAGAATTCGATTTTCTACTGCCCACTTGTCCTAAACTGGCTACCTTCTATCTCATTCCAAAGATCCATACAAACTTGAATTCTGCCCCTGGTAGACCAATTATTAGCAGAATCGACACCATGACTGAGCCAGCCTCTAAATGGCGTCGGTGGCTGAGTGGATAGCACTCTCGCCTCTCAGAAAAAAGGATCCTGGGTTCGAATCCCAGTCGGACCAGGGCCTTTCTGAGTGGAGTTTGCATGTTCTCCCCGTGTCTGTGTAGGTTTCCTCCAGGTACTCAAGTTTCCCCTACCACTAAAAACATGTATAATAGGACTGTGCATGCGCCTCCTGTATTGGCGACCCCGCTCCCATCTCTGTGTGGAGTGAGAGGACAAATTCCCGTTTTGTGACTCTGGTCTGTGAAAGGTGGTATATAAATAAATATTACTTACTTACTTACTTACAAAGAACAACTACTCTTCCACTCTTTTCTTAACACCACTAATTCTAAGCTGAGCCTCGACTTCAGTAAGGAGCAAATCAACTTTTGAGACCTCAAAATCACCCTGGAGGAGAATGGACAGATACAGACTTCCATTTTCAGGAAAAGTTCAGACCAAAACACTATCTTGAAAGCAGAAAGTTTCCATCCAAAGAATCTAATTTCCAACATTCCGTTTTGGCAACTTCTAAGATTAAGGAGAATATGCAGCTCTGAAATGGACTTCAACCACCAAGCGAAGGACATGTACAGCAGATTCATACAGAGGGGCTACAATAAAAAGACACTTGATCCAGCCTTAATTAAGGCAAAAGGCAAAGACCGGAATGCTCTTTTGAAAAGGAAAAGTGGTACTTCTCCATCAAACAAAATGTTTTGCCCTCTAGAATACAGCAGCACTACTCACAAAAAAATTGAATAAAACTATCACAAAAAACTGGAACATTTGATCTTGTGACCATTCTCTGGGGCCGTTGTTTTCACAAACACTAACTTTTTCATTTGAGCGCCACTTTGAAGGATAAACTGGTGAGGAGCTACTTGCCCCCACAAAAATTGGCCGCCTACTCCTTCAAAAAACCAGCCGGCACTTTCATGTGTGGCTCTTGTAAACATTGCCCACAGATAAATCGGAGCACTACCTTTACCGATGCCAAAAAGGATAGACCTTTAAAAGCCTTAGCTTTGCAAACTGTAATTTAACCTATGTGGTGTATAGAATTGACTGTGAATGTGGTTGCTTTTATTTGGGGCGCACAAAGACAAAACTAAAAGAGGTTTGCCGAACATAAATACGCGATCAGGACTCAAAATCTGGATTACCCTCGTAAACATTTCAAAACTATGGGCCATACCAACGTCAAAATCATGGTCAGAGAGACAATCAAACGGGACCTCAGGGTCCATCTTCCCATCCATTTTAGCCATCTTCCCTGTCCCTGCTGAAGAAAAGCAGGCCCAAAGCATGATGCTGCCACCACCATGTTTGACAGTGGGGATGGTGTGTTCAGGGTGATGAGCTGTGTTGCTTTTACGCCAAACATATCGTTTTGCATTGTGGCCAAAAAGTTCGATTTTGGTTTCATTTGACCAGAGCACCTTCTTCCACATGTTTGGTGTGTCTCCCAGGAGGCTTGTGGCAAACTTTAAACAAGACTTTTTATGGATATCTTTGAGAAATGGCTTTCTTCTTGCCACTCTTCCATAAAGGCCAGATTTGTGCAGTGCACGACTGATTGTTGTCCTATGGACAGACTCTCCCACCTCAGCTGTAGTTATCTGCAGTTCATCCAGAGTGATCATGGGCCTCTTGTCTGCATCTCTGATCAGTCTTCTCCTTGTTTGAGATGAAAGTTTGGAGGGACAGCCGGGTCTTGGTAGATTTGCAGAGGTCTGATACTCCTTCCATTTCAATATAATTGCTTGCACAGTGCTCCTTGAGATGTTTGAGATGTTTAAAGCTTGGGAAATCTTTTTGTATCCAAATCCGGCTTTAAACTTCTCCACCACAGTATCTCGGACCTGACTGGTGTGTTCCTTTGTCTTCATGGTTCTCTCTGCGCTTTAAACAGAACCCTGAGACTATCAAAGAGCAGGTGCATTTATACGGAGACTTGATTACACA